AAAGAACCAAAAAAAAATGTGTTAAGCTATTTATTGACAAAGTTAAAAAAAAGAAAAAAAAATTAAGCAATTTTTTAATGTCCTTATTAAATAATCTATTTGATAAAGATTTTTTTTATTCCCACAGAGATATTAAAACACTTTTAGAAACAGCTAACAAACAATGGGGTAAAACTATTGAATGTTTATAAGTAATAAGCTTTCGCAAAATGTGGTTAAAACCAAATTTATTTTATTCCATAAAGCAAATAAATCAGAAAATATTCCCATTAACTATAAATCTAATAATCAATGACGCTGACAGAGAGACGTTCGTTTTTCGGCGTAATCTTAGATGAGCATTTACGTTGGAGTGTACATATAAACACTACGTTGGATTGTACATATAAGCAGTACGTTGGAGTGTACATATAAGCAGTATACTGCTTATATGTACACTCCAACGTACTGCAAAACGTATTGAGAAAAAATATCAAAATATTTTGTCATTTTGGACTAAACTATTTCTAAACAATAAATCTTTTAAAAGTTTAAAATTCTTTTTTATTCATTGTTAATTGATTTTTTTTTAATGGGTAAGTAAAAAATATAAAATAATATATAAAAATTACAAAATTAAAACAATAAAAAAGTACAAATCAGAAAAATTCAAAATTTAAAGATTGTACAGTATACAAAAACATGTGTGCCTATATATATATTATTTGGATCTTATGAGATTATATCTTGTATGCCTCTTCTGTGTATACTTGGCGCATTAAATGTCTATAATAATTGTATATAACTAAGTTGTGCATGTGTAAAACGAAGAAAATATTTCTTTATTAAAATATCTTATATATCTAGAAATATGTTTTCATAAAATTTAAATAGACAAAGTTCACAAATTCAATTGACAAATTCGCAAATACCCAACAAAATTTACAACCACACAACAAAATTTTCAGATAAAACCTAGATTGATATTATTTAAAATTAGTTACATATTTACATAGTTACTTAGTTACATAGTTACTTAGTTACATATTTCAATATCTTCAATTTGTAGAAAAGGTTTCCTAAGATTATTTAAAAAGACTTGAAAGGATAGGGAGTTTTATCACGTGACATAGAACAAGTAAAAAATGATTTAAAACACATGTTATTTAGTGGCTCCAATTCAGCAAAAACTTAAAGGGGCAAAATTGTGAAAACTTTCAAAAAATAAATTTGAATTTTTGAGTAAAAAACTGAATGAAATGAGTGATTCAATTTGCCAAAAACCGCAGTTTCATTAAGATTGGGTTAATTAATCTTGCATAACATACTAAGCAAAGGCTGACATACTCCAAGTGTTGACATACTCCAAGCAGGGCCGGATTTACACTCTTTGAGGTCCTGGCCGAATCGTTTTTTGGAACCTTTTTTCAAAAAAGTGTAGAATTTTCTTATGTTAATTTTTCATTTTACTACATAAAAAACAAATTGCATAAATATACTAACAGTATAATACTGTACACAAATGTGTAAATAGATTTGATAAACTAGAAAGTAACATTTCAGCTTAAGAGTAAACTTTAACAATTTTTTACTAATAAAAATTGTTTTCTTTTTTTTTTGACAAAATTTGTCCATTAGAGAATTTTCATCATTTTTCTTCAGCTTCTTATTATCGGTATATCAAATATTGTCTTCAGAAAAACGATAGACTCTGTACTTCCAACTTCAGTACTCTGTACTTCCATCAAAAATCCATCAAATTTCAACATCAAGTTTTAACATCAAGTTTATAAATTTATTTATATCCTTGTTCTTTTTCAACTTTTTCTTACGCTTTTGAAATACACTATTGTGTACTCGATTCATTTTCTAAATAAAATAAAATTACTAAAATAATAGGCTTGGTTGAGAAAGACTTGCGATCGCACTCTGTTCCTGACCAGGCATATAATAGTTAGTTGCCGCAACTTGGACATTCAAGTTTATGTATGTTTCCAGCTATGTCCGCATAACAATTAGTTTTTAAAATACACGCTTAAAAAATTAACTTATAATATGCTAAATAAAGAACAAAAAAATTTTTTATTCTTTATTTAGCATATTTAAATACTTTTCACTTAAATTTTAGGGCCCCAAAATCGCAAGGCCCTAGGCCGCGACGTAGTCGGCCTATAGGTAAATCCAGGACTGACTCCAAGAAGTCAATGTTCAATATAATTTTAGTAGTGCCACCAGCTGTTATCCACAGTATGTCAGGGTAATTGAAAATACCAACTATTTATTGCTCGTTATCTTTCTTCTTTGCTATAGTTGAAGCAGAAATTAAGCTACAATTAACTGTTTTGTTAAGTTCTATGTTTGCAGATGTTTGCTTGATGAATGCGTCCAAAGAGGAACTTCCTCTTTGGATGCATAGTTAGTCAACCGAGTTCGTCCAAGTGTAAATACAGCTTGTCTAAAGTTTGTATTTTTTTCTTTAATTCACTGTTTCATTAACTATGCTAATATTACATGGGCTAGTACACAAACATAAAAACTTAAAAAATATATATAGTTTGCAAAAACATGCGTGTTGGATTATTTACGGGGAAAAAAGAGGAAAGCATACTAAACCCTTAATGAGAAATATGAAAATGATGAATGTATACAAAATAATTTTTTATCAATACCTAATTTTCATGTATAAATATATTAATAACCTTAATAACCTAACTCGATGAAATCCCTTTAAACTGCCAAGGAAATTAAATAAATATACAAAATTTTCAATGGCATATCGAGGACCTAAGTTATGAAGTTCTTTTCAAAAAAACTAATGCAAATATGGTAAAATCATTAAACTTATTTAAGTTTCAAGCAAAAAAACTTTTATTTTATTACTTTTATAATTTTAATGGATTTTTATAACTGTTTTTGAATATTTGATAATTTGAAATACTAATATTTTATTATATTAAAGGACTCTATAAAAAGATTGAGGTGATATTGCACCACCCATATCTTCTTTGAGTCCCCGTCTGTTTTTAAAACATTTTATTTGTTGATATGTAAAATCCATCTGTAATTTATTTTAACAGCAAAATATAAAATGAAATGGAAAAAAATTACATCATACTTGTCCTACTTCTTTACTATGAAGCTTAATAGCATAAAAGTAAGATACTTGCAGTGGCATAGGCAGGATTTGTTAATGTTCCAATGAAAACAATATCAGGCATTGTGCAAACTGCAAACTTAAATATGTTTATGGTTATATCAAATAAGAATGTTTTAGAAATTAAAGCGGTGTTTTCATATAACTCAATAGTCTACAGTCACCCTCTTTTCCCCGTAAAATCACCTCTGGTTGTTTCCATACAAAAAAATTCTGTAAGTGAAAACGAACATGAAACAAAAACCAGAAAAAGCAGGAAAAATCAATTGATTAAAAAAAGATTTTTAATTTGAAAAATATTACAACTCTATTAAAGGATATTAACAAACAAAAAAATGTTGTTAATGTTTTTTTGTTTGTTAAACAATTTGCTTGGGAAGACTCAGAGCAAATGGGGTAAGAATATATTTAGTGTGGATTCCTCAAGGATTGGTGACAAAGAATGCACAAGTTACAAAGAAACTATTTTTTGCGATTATTGTATTCATAGTTTGTTAAAAAAGCAATTATTATATTCTTAGTCATCTCTCACTAAGCTCACAAAAAGCGCATTTCTCACTAAGCTATATCTTGAGTCTAATATGCTCTTTTCGAAATTTTTCCTTTGAGTCTTTTTTTTTTTTTGCTTTTGTTTTATTTATTTATCTATTTTGAAGTTTTTCTGAAAACTTTAACTAAAAATATAAAAGTATTGCTGATTTCTCTTTTAAGACTTTTCTTCAATATAAAGTGGTATTAAAAATTAAGAGTTTAATTTTGATTAGATGTCGTACTTCTAAAAAAAGTTTTAGCTTTATTAAAAAATCGTACTTTTTCGCTAAGCTAATAGCTTTATTAAGTGTTGTACCCCCTGAAAAAAGATTTCAGTTTTATAAGATCCATTAATAATCATTTAAAACTTACAGGGGCTCAAAAAAGCCAACTTTTATGAAAAATGCTGAACCTGAAATGAATAATATTCTAAATATATTCAAGTTTCCTTTTATTGAATGGATTGTTGAATGGATTATTGAGTAGATTGTTGAATGGATTGCCAAAGTTCACGTAATCAAATTGATTACCAAAAGTACTTTAATATTTTATCACTCGAAAATATATTTATAATTTATTAACATTGTGATTATATCTCGAATGACTTATCGCTTTTGTTTTTCGTTTTGCTACTGAAAGTTACTAATATTAGAATAATAACGTAAGTATAAAATGAATTTTAGTTCTTTTTATTAATAAAATATTTTTAATGGCAATATTTTTTTGTTAAGAAAAATTCCTGTCGATGACGATTTAATTTCCGTACATACCAATGCCATAAAATCAAGAACGGTCGTTTTTATTTGTAAACTCGCATCCGGTTGCACCGGTGTGTTATGAATAATTACTTTTAAAATAATTTTAAAAAATAATTTAAAATGTTTTTATCTCGTAAATATAAAATAAATGAAGTAGATGTATAAAAAAAATTTAAATCTTTAGTTAATAATTAGAAATTTATTTTTACAATGAAATTTTTTTTTTTTTTTTTTTTTTTTTTTTTACTTTTTTTAATTAGTGTTATTATTAATTTTAATTTTACAACTTTTTTGTTATCGAAGTTTATTAAGCAATTTATTAAGCAAAAGCAATGAATTGATTTATGAAATAATTTAATTAATTATAACTTCCAAAAAATTTTTAAATACAATTTTTGAAAGTATTAAATCCGTGTAATAATAATCTAAGAAATGTAAAATAGCTGAGTTTATTTTAATTTATTCTTTTTTAAAAAACTATTTTCTCTATTTAAATAAAAAACCCGGTCTTTTAATGAAAATCTGCGCAGTAGCAAAGCGCATAAATTTTTATGTTATGTTTGTATTTCAAATAGCGCAGCTTTAGATGTCAATATATTTACTTATAGTTATCGTTTATAATAGATTGGAACAATAAAGCGATATTAATACATTTTAATTTACAATTAACTAGCTATCTTTTTTCTTTCTACACGATGCAGTATAATTTTAATGTTTTAAGTGCTATACGATTTAACATTTTATAACTTATATTCACAACATAAATTGCTAAAGTAAGCTTGTTTAAATTCAAAAAATGATTTAGCTCTATCATAAACATTTAAAGGTTGTAGTGAACTAATTGGATATTTAAAAAAATGGAACCTCAAGCTGATCGTATGATAAGAGCTAAACCCGATAAGAATATTGCTGGCCTCTATGACATGGAACGTTCATTAGGATCTGGACATTTTGCAGTAGTAAAGTTAGCAAGACATGTTTTCACAGGTGAAAAGGTGGCGGTTAAAGTAATAGACAAAAGCAAGCTTGATGGTGTTGCTAAATCTCATCTTTATCAAGAAGTTAGATGTATGAAGCTAGTACAACATCCTAATATAGTTAGACTTTATGAAGTAATTGATACCCAAACAAAATTGTACCTTATTTTGGAATATGGGGATGGTGGTGACATGTATGATCATATCATGAGATATGAAGGGCAAGGAATAAGCGAAGCAAAAGCATGTCATTATTTTAGACAAATATTAAGTGCTATAGATTATTGTCATAAACTGCATGTTGTTCATCGAGATTTAAAGCCTGAAAATGTAATTTTTTTCAAGTCTCAAGACATAGCCAAATTAACAGATTTTGGTTTTTCAAACAGTTTTATGCCTGGTGAAAAGTTATATACTTCATGTGGATCACTTGCATATTCTGCCCCTGAAATATTACTTGGGGACTCTTATGATGCACCTGCTGTTGGTGAGATTTATTTTTTATGATTTTAAAAACAGCTATGGTTGTTTATGTTTTGTTATGTTCATGTTTTATTAGTTTAGAAATTTAATTTTAAATTAATGTAAAACTAGTTAAAATAAATATTTTTTAAATTAGCTGTTCAAATAATCTTAAGGTTACTATAATATATGATCCATTAATTTAGATTATTTCTTAGTATTATCACCTTGGTTAAATCTTAGATTCTTGCTTAATAATAATACCTTGCTTAACATTAATGCAACTATTCTTTGTTACAAAGTAATGAGCTAAAATAAAAAAATAAAAAGGATTTTTTTCTTTTTTATTTATTATATGTTGTTCAATTAGTTTACTTGTATAAAAAAAAATTTAACTACTGCAGAAAAAAAATATTCTGTGAATCAAACATTTTAAGGCTATTATAATCAACTTTGTTTTGCTATTCAATTTTTATTATAATCCACTTTGTTTTGCTCAATTTTCATTATTTTGTTTAATAGTTATTAAGTTTAGTGTGTTATTTTAAAGATCTGCACCAAGAACTTTTCTAGTTAGATAATTTTAATTTGTAGTGATGTAGCGATAAAGATTTCTATTTGTCTAATGTTGATCTTGATGATGGAATATTAATTATTCTAATTAGAATAATTGACATTCTAAGTGTAACTACCTTATAACTTCCAACTCTAATATTGGTTGTGTGCAGTCTTGTTGGAAGTAAAGATGTTTTAAAAAAAAAACTTAATTTTATTAACAGGGCAAGATACCGAGTTACTATTGTAACAAAAAAAAAAACACTGACCCTTTCATCCAATTGTTATTTATTACATGAAAGTGGTATTAAAGAAATTTTGCATTTTTTTAGAAGATTTAAATAATGTTGTTTGATTTGTCAATGTAATGAAATACTAAACATTTAAACATATCAAAGCTAATCTTTGTCCAAAAACCACAAAGATTCATTAGTTTTTTATGGTTGTGCAGGACAGTATAAAAACTGCTAACATTTTTACAATTTAGTTGCATTTACAATTATTTTGCTACCAGCCATGGCAGCAAAGTAATTTACTGTCTGATGACCTAGGTTGCAATCTAAAAAAGCATTTTGTTATGCAAGGAAATACATTGGGGTAAAGGATAAGGTTGACATTAAAATTGAGTTGATGTGTGTACTCTCTATTGCATGTTCACCCTATTCAAGTCAGTTAATAAATGCACACTCTGCTGTATGTTGTATCTAACTCAGTTGATGAATATGCAAAAAATAAAACAGAAAAAAACAACAACAAAGAAGTAGAAGAAAAAAATAAAACAAAATAAGTGAGAAAAAAATGTAAACAAACACTTTTATTTGTAAATAAAATGGATTTAAAAACCTACTTTCCATGTGGCATAAGTAAGGGAGGAGGGGGGAGATTCCTATGCTACCATACTTTTTATCCAAATTTTTAAAACAAAGTATAATATATGATATAAAAATCAAAAGTTTTGTACCCATCAAATCTCTTCCTCTCTGTAAGTGTATGTGATAAAATGAAACATTATTATTGTTGTTATATTAATATTTTTTCTAATTGTTTTCATAATGATGCAATTGTAAAACCCCTTCATCAAACCCCTTCCTCTCTGTAAGTGTATGTGATAAAATGAAACATTATTATTATTGTTGTTATATTAATATTTCTTCTTATTGTTTTCATAATGATGCAATTGTATTGTTCTGCTTGACCAAGAAAATCTTGTACATAGTCACTAATGAAGTATGATTTTCTGTCATAATGCAGACCTTCTCGTAAGAGGCGTGCGATTGCACGCCTTATATGACCACGCATATAGTTCTTTGTTTTAACAACTTGACCACGGCTCATTGCAAGTTTTGATAATTAGCGCATTTAAAAATTGCGCTAAAAAAAAACAAAGCAAATTAAAATAAACAATCCATAAACTGAAAAGAGAATAAAATCCTTGAAATAATATATATAACAAAAATTAACCTAAAAAAGTAAAATATTTAAAGAATGATAAAATAAATAAAGGAAAAACCAGAAAAAAAATCAAAACACGTATTAATTAATTTAAAATTAATTGGAAGCAAAAGTGAAAAAATCACAGCTCTAATAATCTTTATCATTCCTTCCATGAATAAATAGGCTAATACAAGGGAAAATAGAGAGGGAAAGGGTGATGAAATTTAATAAAATTTTGTGGTGCAAATTTAAAATTTCATTAAAAAGTTAATAGGATACAGGGTGCAACAAATTGACAAATGTGCACGCATTTCTTTAAAACAGACAAAAAAACAAACATCACGTTTCTTTAATTTTGCTTATGCAAACGTTGCCGTTTGATTAAGATTTTTCAAAACAAACGCGTTACTTCAGCAATTTTTTCAAAATAATTTTGCAATCAATAGTTTTTTATTTATTATAAAAAACACATATTTAAAATGAAAAAAAATTAACTGCAGAGACTTTTTTAAAAAAATGCCAAAACATAATTACTTTTTTCAATTGCATCACTTTTAAGTAAAATAAAAAAAAAGTAATTATGTTTTACGATGGTTTTTGCATGCGCTCACAAAAATATGATAATTTTACTTAAAATAGATGCTTTTGCAAAAACTTTAAAAGAAACCGTCCTTAAACAATTTGATTGCTTTCTTTTATTGAAGAAAGCGATCGTAATGTTTAAGCTTGGTTTCTTTTCTGCTTTTAGCAATTACATTAAAAGTTTAAAGCAAATGATTTCATTACAAATAAAATTGTGCATGCTTTTTTTTTTTTAATTTTCTTATTTTCCATAAACTGAAATAATGTTTGTTTGCTTATTAAAAACATTTTTAAAAGTTTTTTTTGTTGTGCGTTTATCGTTAATTTGCGCGTGCTTTGCAAATGTGTAAAAAAAGCGTCCGATCTTTATTAGAAATTATAGTTCCATGATAAAAAGGTTTGTAATTATTTTTTGATAGCTTCTGTATTCATTTAGCCTTAAACTCTAATCTGAATATTTTTTTCAATGATTGCTTTTATTAAGTTTCTCCGCGCAGCGGCCTTGTTCATCAAGGTTCGTGTTTCGGAGTTATAGAGTTGAGAGAGGGTTATAGCCACAAATAAGTAGCCTCCTCGTCTGTAGTGGCCTTCTCGGCCTTGAGGAGGTGAATTAAAATAAAAAAAAAAAAAAAAAGTTGCATTAAAGTACTCAGGAAATTTTGTGGCAGTTTAATTGTAATTATGGAATCAATTAAATTAAAAATTGCATTTGCTTACACTTACACTTACACTTGCTTACACTTACACTTGCTTACACTTACACTTACACTTACACTTGCTTTGTTTTCTTATAGCGCATTTTTTAAATGCGCTAATTATCGAAACTTGCAAAGAGCCGTGGTCAAGTTGTTAAAACAAAGAACTATATGCGTGGTCATATAAAGCGTCTGATCGCACGCCTCTTACGAGAAGGCCTGTAATGGAAGTAGGCTAACATACCAAAATTGTCAAAAAGCAATGAGTAACACTAGTTACGTCTATGTTGGCATAAGTAAATGCAAATAGAAATCAAAAAAAAAATACCAATGATAGTGAGCATATATTTATTACGGGTAGCTGAAGATATAGGTCCTTTGAAATCAATGTTTAGTTTTTCAAGCGACTGAGTAGTTTTAAAGAGGTAGGACTTTGATTGTGGGTAGATGGTGGTGTGTAGAAAGATGGTAATGCCTCTTTTCCAATAGGACAATGATTTAGTTCAGATTGATGTAGCGATCACAAAAAAAAAAGCAACTGTTAAACTATTCTGATTAAGAACACTAGTAATGTATCAGATGCATCAGTTTTTTTACTCAAATGGTTTGTTCTCATTAATAAAACACACAACAGAGCACTCAATGTCTTTCTTAACAGTAATAATTAAACATGTGAATTAATGTAAGCCTTTGCCAGCTTGTATACAGTATACAGGCAATTTTCTTGTTTAATTAGGATCTGGTGATAGGTTGACTTCAAATCAATGGCACAAAAGTATCAATACTTCGAAAAAAATTGTGTAAGTTCATTCTGGTAGAGGGTAGTCATCAAGATGTAAAACATTGATAGTTAGTGTATAATCTATAACTAGGCACTTTTTTGATCTTTCATTTCTTGTTACAACAACTTGTGATCTCCAGGGTGTTATTGAAGATTCAATAGTTACTTCTTTTAATGGCATTGCACCTCAGACCTAATAAAGTTTCTGTCTTCAGCACTGTAGAGGCAAAATTTTGAGGCTATTGGTTTACAGTCAGGAGTGAAGTTTTTGAACAGATTCAGAGGCTCTGCATTTAATGTATTCAAGTTCAACTACAAGAGGTGCACACAAATTGTTCATAACATGTAGTATTATATTGGAATAGTTTATATCATAAATTTCTATGTCAGTTAAACAATTCCAACAGTTGACAATTGAGATTGACAAAGAAGTTGATGACATTTGAACACAGAACAGTTAGTTGGTTACTTTGAATTAGATACTTTAAGATCTTCTATTTTGCTTTGAAAGACATATTTTAGAGAAATTTCCTTTTTTTCCACTCTTGTTACAGGTAGCATCTTTAGCAGGACATCTGTATCTAGGATGCCTAGCATTTCCACAAAAGAAGCAAACTGTTTTTTGAAGGAGTTGTTTGTCAGGAATGGCAGCAGATGTTATTAGAATTTCTGTATTCTCATTAAAAACATATGCTGTAAAAGTAGGTTTTTGATAAACTGAGAATAAATAATCTTCACAATGGGTTTGTAACGTAGTAACTGCTTTAAAGTTACAATCTTTGACGAGTATTTTAAGTGCTTCGATATAATCATCAAACAATTCACATAATTTCTGTTGAATGTAACAACTATGGTTCTGCTATAGACACATTATAAAAAATTTCCAGCAAATATAGTGTTCAATGGTTTAGTGTTGAGATAATGTGTCTATAGCAGAGTCATAGGTGTTACATTCACTGATGTATTCAAGAATCAAATGAAAAAGAAGTTTGTCAATGTTTTCATAAGGTAACATGTCTAAAAACCCAAGACTCACCTACAGTTAGATTGGAAACACTAAATCTATACTCATTGGAGCAATCTACTGCACACCAGTTACAAGAATACAAGACTGTGTCATTGGATATTTTACCAAAACAATGTATTCGAAAAAGCACTGTTCCAAATCGTTTGGATCTTAAACAAATGACTACTTAAATCTTAAAGATGTCAGTGAGAATGTGATGAAAGGAGCGTTATTATTATTATTGTTGTATTAATATTTTTTCTTATTGTTTTAGTTAAAAAAAGTTAAAAAGTAAAGAGTTAATTATTGACATTTATCCTTCAAGTTCATAACAATACAATAGCTTGAAAAAAAAAGAAAGGTTTTAATAAACATTTATTTTACTGATTGTATTTTGTTCTCTTTGCTGTAAGTATTTATGGTTAATTTTAAACATTTAGTAACAAATAAAGCTTAAAAGTAAAAACTAGTAAAATTATTTAAAAAAAAAAAATATCTAGAAAGAAATAATTAAAATACAAAAATACAAAATTGTTCTATAGATTATTTTAATAAGCAAGTAAAAATAACTTATTTCAATTTTGATTTCGACTTATAAGCTATGATGTTCATTTTAATTTTACTTAGGTTTTCATAGTGCTGTAACGTACCTTTTATATAAAACGAAAAATAAATTTCCTTGTTATTCCTTGAAATAAAATAAATCAAACAAAGCAAAATAATAATAAGAATTAATTTTGACCATTTCAATCTAAAACGTTACAGAAAAGTTATCTTTATTGGTTTGGAAAGACATTAGACCACAGACCACCTAACATCTAATATCATTCAGTTTCGTATTGTAGTCATAAGTTTTAACTGTTTAACAAACTATTACTTTCATAAAACTATTATAATAAATTATTGTTAAAATTTATCATCTTGTATATTTTTTAAGATAAAATTTATTTTAAAATTTAAATTTTTAATCTAAGCGTTTGTTTAGTTAAATTCAGTGCATAAAAAAATATATGTAATCATAAAAATATTGTATAAATTTTTATTTTTTTACTTTTACTATAAGTTTAATTTACTATAATTAATTTTACTGTAAGTTTAAATTTTTATTTTTTTACTTTTTACTATAAGTTTAATTTACTATAATTAATTTTACTGTAAGTTTAATTTACTATAATTAATTTTACTATAAGTTTAATTTACTATAATTAATTTTACTATAAGTTTAATTTACTATAATTAATTTTACTATAAGTTTAATTTACTATAATTAATTTTACTATAAGTTTAAATTTTTATTTTTTTTACTTTTACTATAAGTTTAATTTACTATAATTAATTTTACTGTAAGTTTAAATTTTTTATTTTTTTACTTTTTACTATAAGTTTAATTTACTATAATTAATTTTACTGTAAGTTTAAATTTTTATTTTTTTTACTTTTACTATAAGTTTTTACTATAAGTTTTTTTATTTTATTACTATTGTTATTAAAGTTAAAAAAGTTATGAAAAGAAAAAACAGAGGTTCTTATAAAGTTTTGTTTCTTTCTTTTCTTTTCCATAATTAAAAAAAAAAAAAAGCAAAAGGTCATTATTTATAAGGTAAAGATCGTTATTATGAAGATTATTCAAAAGTTAATGTATATTAATATGTTGTTATAAAATAAACTAGCTAAATAAACAAAAAGTTAGTTATGTACCTAGAACTGCATTTTAAACAGAATTTTTTTAATTATTATTATTTATATAAGAGGAAAAAAGTAGGAAAAGATAATTGGGTTAGTAACTATGGGAGTAAATATAGAAGTAACTCTGATAATTACTCCTAGTTTAGAGTTGAATTCAAAATTTATTTTTTTTTTAAAGATTTTCAAATAGTTAAAATTAAAAAAAAAAATTTTTTAGAAAAATAAAAATTATAACAATATCTTTTATTGAATTTGATTATAATATTTTTTAGATGTATGGTCATTGGGAGTCATACTGTATATGATGGTTTGTGGTAAAGGTCCTTTTAACCATGCAAATGATTCTGAAACACTTACAATGATAATGGATTGTCGCTATGATTTGCCATCTACTTTATCTTCACGCTGCAAAAGGTTTTTTTATTTACTAAAGCTAACAACTATATATTTTTTGCATGAGAGTTTTTTAGAATTCTTTAAAAGGTGTAAGTAATAGTAATACACCCAGACCCATAAAAGCAAAACTTTTATAGGGGAGGGCGGGGGAATATAAAAGGAGTGTATGAGTCTATGGCAGAGCTCTGGTGTGAAATGCATTTTAAAAGCAAAAGTTTGTAATTAACTTACAATTATGTGCTATTGCTTACAATGAATGGCATTGTAAGAGGGATTTTGTATGTTTTTTTAATTTTTTAATTTCCCCAAAACCATTTAAGGACTACTACATTTAAAAAGGTTATTCATTTTTAAGTAACTTAGACAGTAGTAGGGCACAAATATCATAGTATATGATTTTTTTATATCAAATGTTCTATTAATATTCTTTAAAACTTTTTTTTATGTTATTCTAATTTTGATTGCTACAGAAGTATTGTGCAAGAATACTGTTTATGATGAATGTTCCAATAAAAGTATTGTGCAAGAACACTGTTTATGATGAATGTTCCAATAAAAGTATTGTGCAAGAATACTGTTTATGATGAATGTTCTAATAAAAGTATTGTGCAAGAATACTGTTTATGATGAATGTTCCAATAAAAGTATTGTGCAAGAATACTGTTTATGATGAATGTTCCAATAAAAGTATTGTGCAAGAATACTGTTTATGATGAATGTTCCAATAAAAGTATTGTGCAAGAATACTGTTTATGATGAATGTTCCAATAAAAGTATTGTGCAAGAATACTGTTTATGATGAATGTTCCAATAAAAGTATTGTGCAAGAATACTGTTTATGATGAATGTTCCAATAAAAGTATTGTGCAAGAATACTGTTTATGATGAATGTTCCAATAAAAGTATTGTGCAAGAATACTGTTTATGATGAATGTTCCAATAAAAGTATTGTGCAAGAATACTGTTTATGATGAATGTTCCAATAAAAGTATTGTGCAAGAATACTGTTTATGATGAATGTTCCAATAAAAGTATTGTGCAAGAATACTGTTTATGATGAATGTTCCAATAAAAGTATTGTGCAAGAATACTGTTTATGATGAATGTTCCAATAAAAGTATTGTGCAAGAATACTGTTTATGATGAATGTTCCAATAAAAGTATTGTGCAAGAATACTGTTTATGATGAATGTTCCAATAAAAGTATTGTGCAAGAATACTGTTTATGATGAATGTTCCAATAAAAGTATTGTGCAAGAATACTGTTTATGATGAATGTTCCAATAAAAGTATTGTGCAAGAATACTGTTTATGATGAATGTTCCAATAAAAGTATTGTGCAAGAATACTGTTTATGATGAATGTTCCAATAAAAGTATTGTGCAAGAATACTGTTTATGATGAATGTTCCAATAAAAGTATTGTGCAAGAATACTGTTTATGATGAATGTTCCAATAAAAGTATTGTGCAAGAATACTGTTTATGATGAATGTTCCAATAAAAGTATTGTGCAAGAATACTGTTTATGATGAATTCCACGTTCTATATAATATAACTTTCATGTCACTTTCATATAATATAACTTTAATAATCCTTGAATTTGAATTCCACGTTCTTTTTGTTCCACGTGATATATAATATCATGTATTCTTAGGTGCTTAATACACAGGAAGGGACATTTAATAATTTTCAGAAATTTTTCCTTCCCACCCCATACATTTTAAGACCCTCTCCCCCCCCCCTCACTTCCCCTTTTTCATAATTTTTATCTATCAATAAAAAAAGCATCTTCAAAACTAAAAAACATCAAAAAAATAACATATTATGGCTTTAAAAATCATCAACCTTTAAAAAATCCCTTAAATATTGAATTGTCAAAAATTAGGTTTTTGTTTGTTTTTCACCATAGTATTAAACTTATATAAAAATCCTATTGAAATTATGATGAGACAGTTGTTAAAAATTGTGCATTCTACCGCAAGCCGCACTAATATTAAATTGTTTTATTTGTGTGTAAAAAATCCCCATGCACCTTTTTATTAAGACAACTTTTTCTTATAAAAAGTTTACTGTTTTGATATTTATAGAAAACCGAAAATTTTTTTGTTGAATTACTATTTAGCTTGAATTATTATTTAGCTTAATTTCTCGAATGCTCGTACGACAGCCATCAAGCAGAGCTTCCATTGCAAATATTCTTGATGACCCTTGGCTTAGTGAGAGTTCATTACCAAAAATGATGACAAGAAAACCACTTATATCAGAGGTCAATATACCCAGTGAGATACATTCAATAGTACTGAAAAAAATGGAAAATGGGAATATTTCAACCAGAGAGCAAATAGAAAAGTAGTTTTATTTTTAAATTTTTATTAATTTTGTTAATAATTTAGATTTTAAAAAATTCTCTTGAATTTCAATTTTAATCTGTATTGCTTTTTATGTGTAAATAAAACTTTTGAAGGTTATAACAATAACATTTGAATATTTTTTAGATCTTTACGAGAAAAAGCTTACAATCATATTGCTGCAACATATTTTCTGCTTGCAGAGCGTGCTTTAAAGAAAATTTATGTTGGTGCATTTCATGTAAAAAATGAAGGTTATAATATGTTTTCAAGCTCTATTGCCAGGTGATTGTTTACTTTTGTAAATGTTTACATTAGTACTTTTGTATATGTTTTAGAGTTTTATTCAAATCTTAAATATATAAAAAAGATAAATTTGCTGAGTATGTTTGTATTCCTTGTTTACTTGCTTGACCTATTTTTATTTACTTGCAGATCTACAAGCCAAGTTGATTGTCCGACTGAAATAACTCAAGATGATTCTATAGAAGTAATCAACTATCCAATTACAAACGATCTTACTAGGGAGCATTCACAATCGGATGAATGTTTGGTAAGTGAATCTTCTCATGATGACGAGTTTCAAATAAAGCCACTTCAGCCTCGAACACAGCGACTTACTTATCCAAGTTCAATCTATACAAAACAGAACACTAAAAGCTCATCCAATCTTTTAAATGAGATATCTGAAGAACATCATTCTGCTGACGAAAGTCCACGATCTTCACCTCTGCAACGCCGAGCTTCTCAAAGGCGTAGGCAATACCATGCTTGTCGATTGTCACCCATTCATAGTAGGCGATCGAGCTGCAGCAGCTCTGATGATGAAGAGTTGCATTTGCTAACAGAGAGAAGGAGAAGATCTGGATTAGGTTTGCAGACACTGCAGACCAGTTTTCAATCATTAAATACATTTACTCAGAATACTTCTGGAAATTGTATAGGTAAACAAAATTTTATCTGTTCCCAACAAATGGATAAAAAAACGGACTTAGAAAATTTCTTTTTATCGTCTTTAAACTCAAACTTATCAAAACAACGTACATCATACGGGCGCTACTTAAGTGATACCAATCTAACATCTCGTTATCTTCAGCTACATTTAGCAATATTAAACAAAAAAAAAGATAAAATGGTAAAAAGTTCTAGTGACACCAATCTTTCATCAACTGTGCTGCAAGATCCACACAACATATTTCTTACTTCTCAATTTATTAAGAACAAGGATTTATTTCTTAAAGGAATAAAAAGAAGCAGTATTAATAGCTCCAGCTTTTCGTCTCCTATTGAGGAAGAGCCTCCTAATGAACTTTCGAATTCCCACCCGTTGACTGAGGGTAACATATCGGATAAATCTCATAAATGTGCATCCCTCAGCAAATTGTCAGAGTCAATAAAACGAAATCGCAAGCAATATAGCGATTCAGACCTGTCAATAAAGAGTTGTGATGCCGAAATCCGTTTCTATATTGAAAACATTATTAATACCGATAGACTATCAAATTTGTCAAAAATCGTTAGTGTGTACACAGGAGGTCTTTCTCAAATCCTTTGATCACACCTCTCAGCGTTTGGTGTTTCTTAGTTTAGCATCGCACATAAATATATTTTTAAATAACTTATGATGAAGTTTTTAGACGTTTGGAGTAATTTACTTTTAAAGGTCGTTAACAACAACTTTATGTTTACTCTTGTATCTAATGTCGTCAATAGTTAATTTTTGTCATCCGTAAAGTTAAATTAAAGTTGAAGCAAAGTAAACGAATGAACTTAATAATTTATTTGAATTTCCTTTGGTAATTTTGGAGTTTCCTTTGTTGCCTATTCGGAGTTGTAATTTGATCTTAGTCTAAAATATTAAATTTGTTTCCGTTTGTATGAAGTGTTTATTTTAAACTTTTTAGTTTTGTTTAACTGCTGAGATATTAAGTTTATGTGAAAATCCGCTTGATCAGTGCAAAGAATGCGTATAAAGTAAACCTTGAATTTGTTTAGCAATACGAGAAACCCCTCGGGGAACAATAAAGTCCCATACATTTGTTTTAATAATAAAACAGTTTATAACTGCACTGTTTAATTGCGTCAATAAAAACTCAAAAATATTCCTAATATCTGAAGAATGTTGTATAATAAATACTTCAGGGATTAAAATTAATGCAATTTTGATTTGAATAAAAAATATAAAGCTCACTTGTTTAAATTGCGTACATAGTTATTTAAATATTGTCATTTAGTTAATTTAAAGTTAGTGCTTTTTCTCAGGCCACCGCAGAGTATTAAAATAGTTTTACCACTGTGAGAAAATTGTTTTTAGTTTGCAGTGATCTTAAACGTGTAAAAGTAAATTGTGACCCAACCTTTACAATGTAATAACTTATAAAAAATAGAATAAAATCAATCGTTGTTTTTTTGTTGTATTCTTAATCTATCAAAATCACATGCTTTTTTTTTTTTCATTATGTAGTTATTAAGGTGCTCCCAGAAGTCCTTACGGTTGTATCACAGTGCACCACGGAAAAGCATTTAAATTAGAAGTTCACGCCTCCTTCCTTACCAAAGTTGCTTATTGGGCTAGAGCCGGCGTCGAACCACAGTTCTGAGCCAATACTCTAATCACTGCATAACTGCGCCACGGCTGCATGATTCGGTGTTATATTAAAAAAATTATGTAATTTTGTTTTTTAAAAACTGATGAATCAGCTGACAAATTCTCAAGAACTACACAGGTTTAAATTAAATTTATGACTTCAAGTACTAATTTCAAAAATGGCAACAAGATTCAGGGTTAGCTGTGTTTGTCTGGAGCATAAAGGATCATGATAAATTATACTAACGTGATTATAAAATGCTTGATTTATTTGGATGAGAACCCTGACATTATTCATAGTATAACTCCACCAGCACTTGATGATGAGGGTAGTTAGTGTTTTACTTAAGTTTTATATTTATCTAGTTTGATGAGATGAAAATAACTCAAAGAAAATGCTTAAAATAAAGAAAATGTCTTGAAAAAACTGTGGTATAAAGAAATTCAAGAATACCAACTTATGCAATAATTGTTTGTAAACTTTGAGGTCAATAAAAAAATTTCAGATAAGATTTAAATCTTATCTGAAAGTTTTTTATTGACCTCAAAGTTTGCAATGCCAGGGTTTAAACCCTGGCATTTTTAAAGCATATAAATTCAGCACATAGATTGTAATCATGCAAAAAATAAAAAAATAAAACGGATTTAATTCACAAAAAATAACATATCAGTGTTGTAATCTTTTTATTAAATATATCAGAAGGTAGGTTATACTAATCTAACATATCTTTTTATTAAACATATTGGGGGTGGGTTATACCAATCTAACACATCTTTTTATTAAATATATTTAGGGTGGGTTATACCAATCTAACATATCTTTTTATTAAATGAATTAGGGGATGGGTTATTCCAATCTAACATTTTTTTTATTGAATGGATCTGGGGAAAATATGCGTGGATTCAATTTTTAAGTGTTAAGGCTAATTTTGTATATTTGAACTTTTTTTATGATACACACTCTACTTTTGCATATTTGCAGTTGTCTCAAATGAGGTTGGATTACAAAAAATAAGGCTTGGGAACAAAATTAACCTTGATTTCCCCACGATGCACAGTGGAAAATAAAGGTCTGTTTTAAGTCAAAAATCAATAACTTTTTTGTTGAAATGTGTTGAAATTTTGCACAAATGTAGAGTAGTATATGGGGCTTCTAAGGAAGTATTTTTATAAAAAATAATTTAATATAAAACTCGTAAATAAAAATCAAAAACCTTACAATTTTCATTTTTTTTTTTTTTTTTTACAACAATCAATAATATATTAATATTAAATTTATATAATAAAAAAAAACATTTATACGAGCTTTTGCCTAATCTCTAGGCAAAAAAACACAACTGTACTTTTTATTCTTTTAAACAAAAATTTTCCATATATTAGGTTTAATTGCTTTACTAATTTGATTTTTTAATAGTTGCGTGTAATTAAATAATTTGCATATATTTAAACATTTACATGATTACATGACATATATTTTCAAGAGTTTATAAAATGCTTATTATAGCAATATTCAGAATAGTTTATTAATAACAACTTTTATACACTGAGTTTTTATGGAATAAATTATAAGTCTCAAATATAACTTTCAAAAGCTGCAAAATATTTTTATCGAGTTCTCGGACATTTTTGCTGTACGGTTTTCTAATGCTGGTGATGTAGGGATTGGAAGTGTACAAAAAAGTATGAAATACGTCCTCATTCGTAGCTAATCTAGAACATTTCCTGGCATGATGAAGGCGAAATTTTTTATAACCTTTAATACGCATTTTTTATAATACGCATCTTTTAAAAGTGTACCAGCTATAATTACTCACACAAATGTGGGCAGTTTCTATAGCATATGTCCCAAAACTTTCAGCATTTATTATAACACCTGAGGAGAGAGCTTGTAGCTTGATTTTTCACCACAAAATGCAAAAATAATTGAATGTCCATCAAAATTAATTCTCAATAAAAATCGGACAAAAAAAAACTTTTTTTATAAACAGATAGTCTGAAACCACGATAAAAAGCGGTTTTTTGTTTTCTGACTTTTATTACTTTTTTATCTATAACTTTATAAACCGCACGTATCCGCACCTGATTTTTAATAAACCATTTTTATAGACACCTAAGCTACTAATTAATTATAAAAATAAAGCGTCGGTGACTGCCAAAATTATCAGTGAACTTTAAGCTTTTTTTTTTCTTTTTCACTTTATAGTTCAATTAATTATTTGTAAGCAAAACCATATAATGAAAAAAATTAGTTTGTTTTAAAATCTCCATAACATGATGCTTTCAAAAATATATAATACTTTATACTTATTCATAAAAAGTTTTATAGAAATTATCTTTTAAAGTTATGAAGCAAATAAGTTTAAATTGAAAATTTTCAAAAATATGAAACGGTAGGGCTTCAAAAGAGATCTTTTTACAAAAAATTAGGTAAAATTCCTACATTATAGTAAAGATTGACTATTAAACTATTAAATATATATATATATATATATATATATATATATATATATATATATATATATATATATATATATATATATATATATATATATAAAATTTCAATAGTGAAATTGAAATTTGAACAAAAAACATTTATGGTACGATTTTGTAGTACTATTTTCCACTGTGCGATGCTCACTAGCAAAAAATAAAAGACTTTTTGTTTGCCACCCTGAAACTTTTTTTCAAAGCCTTCCTTCCTGCTAATTAAATTTTAAGAAAAAAATCCGGACACAGTTTTTCAAACTGTAGATTTACCACCAGGGCCGCATTTGTGACGTTGTTAAATTGACGGCGCCCTTAGGCGTATGAATAATCGTCGCCCAAAAGTTTGTCATAAAATTTAAAAAATTACATATTTACAGTAAAAACTACAACTTTTTAAAGAAAATGTTGGCGCCTCTAGGCAGTTGCCTAGATTTGCTTTATGGTAAATGCGCCTCTGTTTACCACATCTATTATAGGAAACATTACTCAAAGACCATACTGCATTGTTCATTGTGAATTATTTATTGTGAATTATTCTATTAATTCTTTTGTCAAAATCTAAAAAGTGTTTTTTTTTTTCTAAAATAGTAAATATGATTTTTGGTGAATCCGATTAGCAAACGATATTGTTGAAATTAGAAATAAGTGCGAATGTCTCATATCTAAAATTAGTTAAATTTCGGTAGAAGCAGAATCAAAAGCATCTAGCTTTTAGCATTTAGTTTTTTTCTAGTATCTAGTTTTTAATATTTGAATATATTTTCTGGCCATATATAAAATTGCTAAAAAAATTAATTTATAAAAAATAATATAAAATTTTTTGATCAATTAATGTGCGAAATGTTAAAAACAACTTTACACCACAAAAATAACAATATAAAATCAAATGTAACACTTTATGTAGACGAAAACCATAATGTGAGGCGAAACATTATTTTAAAGAACTGTTATTAATTTGAGGGCCTGTCTTTTTTTTTTAAAGTTTCTTTTTAATTAAATAACTATCTAACATTTAATACTAAAAAAATAAAAGAAATTTCAACCAACAATCAATTTTAGTTTATTTAAAAAAATGTATATAATTTTTTTCATTTCATTAGTTTTATCATTTCTGCAGTTTAGTTGATTTTGAACAGTTTAATTATTTATTTATTTTTTGCTTTATTAAATCATATAATCATATAGTAATAAATTTACTAAATTCATAAAAAATTAAATAAATTTCACGAGGCTTCTTACAAGACCATCTGGAAACTGCAAGTTTTAATAAACTTAATCTTGAATTGCATGTAGAAACAACTGAGTCAATTTGAGTTTTAAATGTTCTGTTTTGAGTTTAATTGTAAAAGTCAATTACATTTTTATTTATAGGTAACTGGAACTAAAATAACGTTTAAAATAACGTTTCAAGACAATAAAATATTATTAAAGGGTAGCAAAGTTACGAAATTGTGTAAATTTTAGTTTTTGACCCTATTTTTTATATTTCAAATAATTTAAAATCAATTTTAATTCATACAACATCAAGCAATTTTGAAAACCTGAATTTTACGTATTTCTTCAACTTTTCACATATTCTAAAATTAATTGCATCAAATCCACTTGATTAGGTTTTATTTCTAGTAAACTAAACAATAGCTAGAAATCTTGCCCATTTAACAACTCAAACTTTTATCCGGTTTGAATTCCAGAAAAATCGCACGATGATAAACGCAGAATTTTTAAACCTAAAAGTGCAATCTTGTTTACATTCCATTTTGTCTACATCTTCCATCTTGTAACGATTTTGTAATGATTCCAACTTGTAAAGAAGTGTCAGTCCGTAAGCTACCAATAATTTTTTTTTAGAAATGAATTAGCCTGCACCTCACATTAAAAATGAATTTTCAGTACATTTCACTTGTATTTTTTCTGCGCATCTTTTCTGTTTTCCTAATACTTTTTTATTCACCAAACACTTTCAAAAAATAGTCGTGGATAAGAACTCCTGCTCTCATTCAAATCTTTTTGAGCTTAATTAAAATTGTGCCGAAGATACTACTGGTTAGAGACGATCTCTTTTCACTGGCTTCATAAGTTTCTCAGAGTTGCAAGTATTTTTTTAAAACAGTAACTTTTAGCGGAAATGTCAAATCAACAAATAAAGGTTAGCCAGGATCAAATCCATTAAGTTTATCTCGATTATGTTTTCCAGCACTAAATTTTTGTGCCAAAACATAGTACTGCGCTCCTGCTACCTGTTCTTAGTTACACGCTTGCTTACTTTATCTATGAAGCTTTTATTTCGTTAGAAGTTATTAAAAAAATCCTTTGGATTTTCCCATTAAAATAAATTGTTTTTGAATAAAAATTTATTTGAGAATGTTAATTTGTATATTGTAAAGTATCATTAGGTTTATAATAAACTATTAACGTTAGAAGAATATATTAATAAAATAACGTTTAATTTTTTAATACTTGCGAAACACTGTTGTTGAACTCTTTTAAAATTTATTGAAATAGTTTTGTGTTTGTGTGTGTGTGTGTGTGTGTGTGTGTGTGTGTTTGTGTGTGTGTGTGCATAAGCATTTAACTAAGTTTGCGCCTTCTTCCTTACCAATGTTGCAATTGTTGTTAAGGCTGGCTTTGGACCTTCGGACCTTTTAGTTTTGAAGCAAATGAAATGTTAAAAACAACATTTCCACAAAAATTAGAAACCATAATCAATTTTAATATTATTTATTTTTAAAAAGTTGAATTTCTTCATTATAGTTGGTTTTTAACAATTTTTTAGTTTTGTTACAAATCCAACTATTTTTTTTTTTTATTTTCAATGACAGATAAAATGTAAGAGAAGTAAATTTGACACATTTGAAATAAAATTAAAAAGTTATTAAATTTTTTTTTAAAAAAAATCATGCTGTCCTATTTTTTTAGAGCACTGTGTATAAGCATTCAAAATATTTTTCAAATTATTATTATTATTATATTAATTTCAAATCTGATTATTATTATATTAATTTAAAAAGTATTTTTTTATATAAATTTATAAATTATTTATAATTGATTATATTTAAATTGATTAATTTGATTGATTGATTAAATATAAATATTTAATCAATCATTCGAAAGTGTAACTTTACGAAACTTATGGTTACATGCAAGTATAACACTGTTGCATAAGAAAGGTGACAAACTTTAGCTAACTATAGACCAATTTCATTAACATCAATTGTATGCAAATTCATGGAAAGTATTGTCAGAGATGAAATAATGAAATATCTTAACAATAGTAATTTAATCTCAGTGCACCAACATGGTTTTGTGAATTAAAAATATTGTTGTACAAATTTACTAGAAACATTAGATATTGTCAGTAAAGCATTTGACAATAATATTCCAGTTGATATTTTATTTCTAGATTTTGGTAAGGCATTCGATACTGTGCCACATGAAAGGTTGTGTATAAAATTAGCTGGATATGGTTGAATTGTTGAACTGGTGCAGAGCTTTTCTAAAAAATTGGTCACAACGAGTTGTACTTGAAGAAAATACTTCTGAATGGACAAATGTTATAAGTGGTGTTCCTCAGGGATCATTACTTGGACCATTATTATTTATTTTATATATTAATGATATAATGTTAAATATAAAAAACGAATGTAAACTATATGTTGATGATACAAAATTAATATCTATACTTGATCATACAGTAGTAAGAAAGATTTACAAGAAGATCTAAATAAAAAGGTTCAATGGACCAAAAACTGCTTAATAGAATTTAATAATGACAAGTAGAAAGTTATGCATTTTGGAAAAAATAATTCTAAAAACAAGTACTCGATGCTTAATAATTCCAAAAATAAAAACTTATGCAACTAAACTAACAAAAACAACTTTAGAAAAAGATCTTGACATATATGTATCATATATGACCCTAACTGGAATTGCCACATTAACTATACAGTCAATATGGCTTACCAAAAATAGGCCTAATAAAAAACTCTTTTAAATATTTGATGAAAGAAATATAAGATTACTATTTACTTCATTAGTTAAACCTCATCTTGAATGTTTTTGTGGATTCCATAATGAATCGCCATTTTGGAATCTACATTTACAAAAACATATCAATAACTCCAACAAAGAGCAACTCGTACCCACAGTTTAAAAGGTTTATCATACGAAAATAGATTAAATAAAATTAATCTTTAGACATTAAAAAATAGAAGGTTGAGTGCCAATATAGTGCGACTATACAGGTTTATGAATAACTTAGATGTATTTGATGATAAATTGGTACAATCCTCCTATATTTATATAAATTCAATTACAAGAGGGCAGAAAATAAGAATATGTAGACAACAAGGCAAAAAAAAAAAGTCGACATAAAATTTTTTTATAAATAAAATATTGGACAAATGAAACTGTTTACCACAAGATGTTGTGGATGCGAAAAATTTAATTACATTCAAAACTCTTTATGACAATTATACGAAAAACTGTGAAAAGCTGTCACAGTCTGACTCTACAGTCTACTGTTGTTAGACTCTATACACTGTAATGTGTATCACAGCTTGTTTGTTTATTTTATTTATTTATTGTAACTTTAAGTAAATAAATTAGCAAATATATTTGTAAAAATTACTTTTTCAATAAGAATTTAAGAAAATATTTTATGTTTAATAATTATTATGACACCAGTTTTATAAATTAGGCGGATATATTACAATCCCTTATAAAAGAAATCAAAGAAGGTTCAACATTTTATGGTTTAGCTCCGAAATAAATCTTCTCACAGATTCTTTCTCTAAAGCGCATATAAAACGATTATCTGGATAGCATTGATATCGAGAGTATCATTAAAGAAGCAGGGTTTTTTTAAGTTACATTAGCGTAACTACTGTGGTTAAGCTATGTTTCATGTTCAGAATGTTTTGTTAATTATTTCAATAATTATTTTATTCTAAACATTTATGCCAGGGCTAAAGTATAAAATAAGAATAAAAAATGTTTGTATTACCTAGCGGTTACATTAAATAAATAAATTTGATATATTATTTGCCTCCATGGTGGAGGACCTGTCCACACCAGTGCCAGGGGCACTTGCTAGTGTTAAGACGACCCTGTTAACAATAATTTTTAATTTGAATAATTATTATTGACACTAAACTCTCCAAATTTATGAGAATTTATTTATTTCGACCTAACTCAGGTCAAAATAGATCACCTAAGCTAACATAAAAAAAAAACGCTTTGAAAGTGACCAGATTAAAAAACAAACAAACAAACAGATATCTTATAAATCTGCAAAACTTTTTTAGTTAAAAAGCTTTAAAGCTCTTAAATTGCAAATTTGCAATTATTTTAATAAAAAAACAAACTAATATATTGTTTATAAAGATATATCGTAAATGATTATTAAGTATTTTGTTTCTTTTGGTTTGTTTTTTTGTTTGAATTTTTGTTCCTTTTGATTTTGTTTGAAGTTTTAAAAGTTTAAAAAATTTAATTTCTTCCTTGTTTCTTTACTTTGTTTTATTTTCAAACTTTTACAACTATTATGACTGATAATTGATCTCAAACATATTAACATTTTAAGTTTTTAGAAAAGACCAACTTTTGTATAACTTAACATAAAAGTTATTAATACTTTTAATACTTTTTTCTAGTTTTGTTATTAATTCTCTAGTCATTAAGCAAAGATTTTTTTACGGTACTACTATTAGTAGTTTCTTTGACGATATTTTCTAATATGCAACTTCAGTCAAAAATTGTGCGAATTCTCACGTTCTATTTCATAAATAGATTTTTTGCTAAAAAAAGCCGAATGTCATTCTCACGTTCTATTTATTGTTCAAGTTTTAAAATTTTATTCAAGTAATTTTATTCAAGTTTTATCAAATAAATATTTTAACTTTTTAAATGCTTTAAAACTTATAAAAATGAAAAATAATTTTTAATGGAAAATAATTTCGATTTATATTCGGAAGCGGCGACATTTCTTGAATCAATAGCGTTAACTGTATTTGAACAGAGAAATAGCTGTTCAAAAATTAATTGTATTGATAAATTACAACTTGGTTGGTTAAAACTGCAACAAATTATTGAAAAAGATGACGAACTAAACATAAATAGTTTTATGAAAGCTAGTTTAGTCGAAGCCCAGAATATGTTGAGGTATTTGTCTGAAAAATTCAACGATTCAACTAAACCTAAATATTCAGTTAATGAAAATCCGCTCTCTGAAAGTAACAGTACAGATGCTCAAAGAGATTCTGTTATAGAAAGTACAATTTTTAAACAAGGAACAATTACTTTTGATGACATCGCCGGACTAGACGAGGCAAAAACGCTTTTAAAAGAGGCAGTCGTTTTACCTTTGCAATATCCGCACTTATTTACTGGTAAACGAAAACCGTGGAGAAGCATTTTATTATACGGACCTCCAGGTAACTTAATATTGCTGTGTTTATCTATAACTTTAGTGCAAACTAATTGTATAATAAGGGGGGCATCCACAAAGTACGAAGGCAGTAAAATCATTTAAAACCCTCCTCCTTGTACTCACTTGTATGCTTTCAACGATACTCCCACATCCTGCATACGTACGCATTATTTATTTATTTTATTTACAAAAGCACCTCCCTCTTCCCAACCAAAAACCTTTTCGTAACATAAAAAACAAAAAAACCTCAGTTAATTGGACATTTATTTCCATAACAACACTGATTTTTTAAACTGTTGAAGTTCAATGCTTTTGTTAAAAAAAACATAAGAAAATTAAGTTTTAGGAGAAACAGAACGAAAGATATATTAACAATGTAGGTTCTTCACCGGCTTACAACATTGGTAAGGAAGGAGGCCTGAACTTCTTAGTTAAATGCTCTTCCACGGTGCTCTGTGATAAGACCGTAAGAACTTCTCAGAGCACCTTAAAAACCACGAAGCATGAACCGTGACGAATAAAAGTCTTTTCAGGGTTCAGCTTATTTCTGCTCTCTGATGAAATGTATAAGCATCCAGATACCCGGCAAATAATTGAGGCCTTCGAACCAATATAGCAAAGTACCTGAAGTATTATTAGTTTTATTGATTTGCTTTCCAAGAAGCGGCATATCCCTTAGAATATTGAAAGAAGTCTTTCTTTTTCTTTCTTCCTTTTTGTTCCAAAACTCTTTAAGTTGCAGATGATTTTCCATTTCACAAAAATATTTTTTTTCAAGATTCAAAAAGATCATGTTCAATTTATTCAAACAATTATATAATTAAATAATTATATAAATTTAGAGTATAAATAAAGGTGGCCTACGATAAATATTTTTTCTTTTACACACTAATTGCAAAGAAAACATCGCAATAGCAGAGCTAATCTATATTTCTAAAGCCAATATTTCTAAATCCGGGATTTCATAATTATATTTACCTAGTCAAATGATCCAGTGATTGATTTTGAAATTTTAAAATACCTTTTCTTAAAAGATATTGACATTATTTTAGTAAAATTTGAAGAAGGAGAAAAAACCTTCTAAAATAGGTTTTAAAAAAAATATTAAACTAAAAAAATTCATTGGCTAAAAAAATTCATTGGCAATTCATATACTTATATCTTAAATACACTTAATCATCAAGTTATAAGGCTTAGGTATATTTAATATAATTAATCAAGTTATATGGATCTTATACTTGTTTTATGGGTATAAAATATGTCCAGTGACGGATCCAGGGGAAGGGGGTTTGCACTAGAATCCCCTTATCAGAATTTGAAAGTCCTAGGTATTGAGGACCTTTTTTTTTTCTTTAGGAGACGTAAATACGGTACAAAATACAAAAATATTTCAACATCCTCCACCCTCCCTTCCCCCCAAAATATCCTTGATCCGTCACTGAATATTTATGTAACTATATTATATTAGTTATTATTAATTTTAAATTATTTTAAAAATGTGTTTGGAGAGAGCAGAGCACATTCAAAGTTCCATTAACCAAACGACTATATTTTTGTTGAGAAAAATCCGTCCAGTAAAGACACGTTCAACTGCTATGCTGCTGGGCAGGGCCGGCGCGAGTAGGTGTCATGTGGGGGGAGGGGGTGCCATTACAACTTTTGCTAAACTGAATCGAAAAGGTTGACAATTGCCAACTAACTAGTCAAATAGGGTCAAATTTGCCGACTAAGGGTCAAATTTGCCGACTAAAAATCATTGATGGGGGGTGTCACCCTTCCCCCCACACATACACACCTATCGCGCCGGCTTTGCTGCTGGGTTTAATACTCATCAAAAAATTATACGCTCTTTGCATAAATGGATTAGATGTTCCTCAATTTTTCAACAACAACATTTTGTTCAGAACTTTCTACAACAGCGTTTCACATCAAGTTGACATCTTTATAAAATGTGCTTCTTTTATAGTTTTATTAAGTTCGTCTGAAATATTTAAATTAAAAAAATAAATAAAAAAACAACAAAGATTTAGACGGAAGACATAACTGTTTTTAGTTCTATTTCAAATTTGGAATGAACGTTGGTTCTTGTGTATATACTAAAAATCCTAAATATACCTGTACGTTGTTAGGATCTTCAAGTTTTTTTAAATGCAAGTGAATAAATTGGCATCCAAAAAGTCACTATTTTTACTTTTACTGAGCGTTTTAACAATAAAAGATACGGATATTATGTTTAATAAAGTCTTACGTAATGCGTTATTTTGGTGACAAAGAATGCGTTGAAGCATTTTTTTTTTTTTTAAATTTTAATTCATCTCCTCAAGGCCGAGAAGGCCACTACAGACGAGGAAACTCTATAACTCTCAAACACGACCTTGACGAACAAGGCCGCTGCGCGGAGAAACTAGTTGAGCGCGGTACTACCAGGGACGTGGTGGGGATCGAACTCGGAACCACTCGTTTATGAAGCAAGCGCTTCATAAACGAGTGGTTCATAAACGAATGCGGTAGTGGTGTAGTATAGACTCTCAACTATTTAACTCTGAAACACGAACCTTTTCTAAACAAGGTTGCTGCGCGGAGAAACAAGTTTGTTCAATTGAATTTCAAGTTCAAATTTGAAGTTCAATTGAAACTTCAGTTACTTACTCCCATTCTCCGACCTCCTTTTTCCAATTGCTCATTGTTATAAACAATATTACTTTTAAATTATATAAAAAAAAAATATATATAGGGTAATGCGGGGCAAAATGAGACAGCAGGGCAATACGAGACAGTTCGCGTTTAACATAATGCTAGCCCTACAAATTATTATTTGCAAGATTTTTAAAAGTGCAGTTGTGTTCAAAAACTATTTTGTGTCAAGAAAAATATATTGAGTCACTTTGAAATAAAAAAGTTGAGTAAAAGGGGAGTCATTTCATCCCTCGGCTTCGCGAAAATTACGAATTTTTAAGAGTTGTTATTATATTTTTTCCTAGCCTTTTTTGATCTCACTGAGTGGAAAAGCTTTTTATATTTAAAGTTTTTTTTAATTAGAATCATTAGGCCTTTTCCTTTCATTTCCATTCTTTGGTATTTTATTTCTTCAATAAAATAGTCTGGAAATTAGGCTATTCGATGCCAATATGATGCGGGGCAAAACGAGACATTTTGTTTGTATTTTTTTTTGCCGATATCTAATATTATGTTTATTTATTTTTTTACATTAAAACAACAACCAAAGCAAATATTAATATACTTACTTTTTATTTTGTTAATTGAAATGTTTAGTTGTTATTCAATATAGAATTACGTTTTATATTTTGTTAACTTATATTTAAATATAATAAATATTTAATCAAATTGAAGCAAATAATTGCCTGATGTTTATAATTACTATGTTTGTATTTTATAATCTTATTGTATTGTAATGTATTAAAGTAAGTAGTATATATTATATATAGTGAGTAGATTATAACATAGGTTATTGCAGTACCTATAAACAAAATACAATGAATGTTATGCGTGCTTAACATTTACAAGTGGAGTCAATTTCCAAAATGCATAACCTGGGCTCATTCGGACTGTTGTTTGTTTCAAAATACTGGTTAAGCAATATGTGATTTATGTGACTAGTGACAGTTTGATTATAGCTGTAATAAATTATAAAATGTATTTCTTGCTAATCCTTTTAAAGATATGTTTTTTTTAACTTTATTTATTTAAATTACTAAAAAAAAAAATCTGTCTCATTTTGCCCCGGTATGCGGGGCAAAATGAGACAGGATAGGTGCTGTCAATAAATGATCTCTGGTGACCAAACTACTGCAGTTTTGCAACTCATACTTTTTAGGCTTCAAGTAGGATCGTAGAAGAATTGAAAAATATCAATTTATTTTTTCAAAAGTTGTTAGACGGGCCGTATTAGATATATTAGCACTTAAGTGTCTCATTTTGCCCCTCTTTACACTATATATGTTTACCGTGAAATTTATTTTTCTTTTACAGTTTCAAATTATATAGAAAATTTTTTTTTTAAATAATTTGAAAAATTCTTGTTATAAATTATTAAATAACATTATGTAAATTTATATATTTTATAAAATATATTTTAAATAAGTTAAAGTAGAAAATAATACTAATTTTCAATATCATTAAACAGCAACAACAAAATTTAACAGATACAAATGAAAAATAAAACCCTAAAAAGCCCAAATTTATCCAATAAAACCCAAAATTACCCAAAAAAAACTCACTAGGCAGGTTTTTTTTTTTAAATACCCGATTTTTGCCAACCCTGGTATGACGTCCTTAAGACGTCCAGCACGCTAAGTTTTAGGAACTAAGATTAAGTTCCAGAATTGATCTTATTGTAATGTAATTAAACATGTAAATTATTACTAACGTAGCGGCGGTTACGAATTGATGCTCATTCATTAAAAGATAAGCAATGTTTTTATCCTACACCGAATTCAGTTTGTTTTTTTTGCCACCATTTAACGCCCAGTTTTAAATGTTGTAGGTGAATGGATGATGGATGTTGAAGAAAAGGGTGAACTTTCAAATCCTGTATCTAAAAATCCTACATGTATAACACTGGAACGGCATTCATTGTTGTATGAAATAAATGTAAATCGTTAAACGGTAAACATTGTTGAAATCTCATTAAGGGCTGTTTAAAAGACTGTTGAACAATTGTTTAAGTGCAATTAAAGTGAAATAATTAATTTTTTTCGCAAATAATAATAAAAAGTATATATAAATGGCTTTTACACCATATATTTTTATCATTAATGAATAAGAAGGCAAGCTATATCATGATTTGAAAAAAGATCAGTTATAATAATATAATAGAATAACGTAATTTTTAAGCAGTTTCTCAAACGTTTGTTTCATTATTTTGTTCATTGTCACTATTTTCATCTAGTAACGAACTTATCTTTACTTTTTTTTCTATATATTTTTTTATTGATGCCAATACACCCTTTTAGTTCGCCCTTGCGCCGCGGAGCGGAAAATACT